CTGAACCACCTCTTCCCCCATAACTCCCCGCACCTGAGGGGGGATGGAGGGGGTGTGACTCTGTGGGATGAAGGCAGCTGCTATATTTGAATTATTACATAAGCCAGGAGGGAGGCAGTTGCAACGTGACTCCATGAAGGTCGGGAGGCAAGTTGAGGCTGGGCCCAGGAGGCAGGGGTCTCCTGCCCTCTGTCCCTAGACTCCAGCCTGACCTGGGGATTCCAAGTTGGTCTGCACTGCTGCACTGCAAGAAAGGTCTTCCCTAGGTCTAACCACACTAGGAAGGCTCCGTTCTCTATCTTCTTAGAAAAATATAACCTGCTTTCTAGAAACCCTAAGGCCAGACCCAGGCTATGCCCCAGATCCTGCCCCTACACCCTTTCCAGTAATAAAGATGGGATTAAAAGCTTTGCCATTCTTTTAAAAGAGCGTCTGATGGAGACAGCAATACACACTAGCCTTGGCTCGCCTGCCCCATCTGAGAGGGAACTGTGTTCCTGTCCTAGCTACTCCACTTACCAGTCATCCTCCTCCTGGGTCTTAGAATAAAATGGGATGACACATGCAAAGCCTTGGCACAGCAGGTGGTGGGCGCCCCATGATGGTTTCTCGGCACTATCACTTGCATCTTCAATCCCACTGCCAACTCTAAGGGCTGGCTGGAGATGGTGGTGGGAACTGAGATTGGACTGACCCCTCTGCCCCCAGTACCCTCCTTCTGGGTGGAAGGTAGGAGACCAGAGGAGAAAACGAGTCTGAGAGTCAGGAGCTTGGCCAGACTTGCTGTGTGACCTGGGACAAGCCCCTGCCCTCTCTGGCGCCCAGCTCTGGAGCTAGTGTTTGAGAGAGGATTTCCCAAATGGGATCAGTGACTTGTGGCAGTGGAAGCTGCAGTGGCAAGCAAAGTTGGCTGGGCAGGTGGGGGTGGGCTGTCCTGGGAATGGTGAGCTGGAGGCAGCCATGGTGGGCACCAGCACAAGGCCCACTTCCTCGGCACCTCCTCCTCTTGACCCCACCCCCCAGGAGGAGGAAGCTGTGCCCACCCGAACTGTGTTGCCATGACACTGGTCTCCATGGTGCCAGGCACACAGCCCTCCCCTAATCCAACAGGAGGGACTGAAGGTGACAGGAGCTGAGGAGATTCGGGACCTGAGGTCCCTTTCACTTGTCCCTATGCCTCCATCGGCCCTATGAGGTCCCCATCCTGAGCCTCTCAGGAGAGCTGGGAGGAGCAGTTTCCACTTCAGAGTTGAAAGAGTAACAAAGAGGCCTCAGAATGACTTGTGTGGAGGGCAGATACACAGGAACGCAGGGAGGTGGCAGGGTGATGGGGAGGCAGGGAGAGCTGGGGAGGCAGACGGGCAGGGGGAGGAGGGCATGCCACAGTCACAAAGGGAGGAGGGCGTCCCAGGCTGACAAGTGGTGGGAGGCACCGTCCGGCCCATCTCTTTGGTCTCAGCGTTTGGAAGTGGGTAGTGGTGGGAGGACAGGGTGGAGGAGGAGGAGCAGGAGGGAGAGACAGCAATTTTCCTAGAGAGCTCTGTGTGGGTGGGTGTTCATCCACGTGCCGTGTGTGTGTGTGTGTGTTCATCCACGTGCCGAGTGTGTGTGCGCGCGCAGCATGCACTCACAGATCTGGAGAAGCAGGCTGAGGTGTGCAGACACGTGTGTACAGGCCTGAGTGTGTGTGTGGCATGTGTGCGCCTGTGCCACTGTGTCTCCAGGGTGATAAATACAGCAGTAGGAGCTGTAACCAGGGCAGAGAAAGTATGGAAATTTCCATAGGCTGGAAGTGGTATGGGAGAAGGGACATGCTATGGCTGGGCCAACCCTGGCTGACCAGGGAAATCCCTGACTAGGTGTGGTGACCTGGGCACATACACATACCTTAAGTAGGCACAGAGGGATGGAAGAGCAACCCAGAAGAGCTTCCTGAAGGCGGTGTCATACTGGAGGAAGGGCTGGGAGGTTCAGGCCACTGCACTTATGTGAGAGACGGTCCCCAGAGCAGGGTCAGGGTCACTTAGGTCACAGAGCTGGCTAAGAGAATAGGAACCGTTCCTTGTTCTGATAGGGGATGATTCCAAGGAACCCACTGGACTGGGATGTGGTCATATCTCATATCTCAGAGGCAGGGGTATGGGGGACAGGCCCTAGGGTGCTATGGGGCACTGTGCCCCAGCCACAGCAGGCCGCTCACTGCAGGGTCACATCCCCTTGTCTTGTGCTCAGACCACTTCCTCTCCTCCACCTTCGGAGAACTGCCTGTCCTTCCAGACTCACCTCCTCCAATCTTTCCTGACAATATCCCCCACCAGGAGGTCTCCACCTTCCTCCACACCACTCACTCATCTGCTCCCCCTTGGTGTTCAGTAAAGCTCTGCATACAGTCAGTATTCAACAAGTGCTTGTTGAGTACAAATATATTGGGACTAGAATATGCCATGATATCTTCTCAGACATTTGGGAAGAAGGGGATTAGCAAGGGGTAGTGCTAGACATTTCACACTTACTAGTTCATTTAATTCCCCAAACCACTAGGGGGTAGCTACTATCAATACCCGCAAAGTACAGATGACAACATTGAGGATCAGAGACCTAAGTAATTCAGGCAAAGTCACACAGCTTGTGAACAGGAGCACTGGCACCCACATGCGTGCTTTCCAAGACAGCGGGCCATGGGCAGGCGGCTTGGAGGCCACCAGAGCACGGGCCAGGAAAGAAGTCCCAGCTCCCGCCCTTCCCTGCCCCACTGATTTCCTTCTCCAGAGGCCCCAGGACTCCTCAGAACTCTGCAGGGTAGGAAGGTTGTGCTGGAAGGAGGCAGGAGAGAGGCAGACATCCCACCCCACCTCCTTGCCCCTCTCCCCTCTGCCCTTGGCCTCCCCTCCACCTGCAATGCCCTCATCATCCAGGCTCTGACGTGCCTCGGTCTTCTCTCGCCAGGCACCCCGTATTCCCCGGGGGCTGGGCCTGGATTCGGGTTGGTCCTTGAAGCCCTGTCCTCCTCCCCCAGTATTTCAGTATTTTAACCTCTACTCCAACCATATCTGGCAAGGCCTCAGGTCTTCGAGGCTGACTCAGGAGCACCTCCTTGTCCAGGAAACCCCTCCCTTTCCAAGAGCTACTCCTGGCCCCACTGCAGGTCCAGGTCTGGGGTCTTCAACTCATCCCTAGCAACCCGACCTCAAATAATATGTGAATGAGCAAACCATCCAGGGTCCCAACAGGCCCCATTTTTAGGAATCCTTGTGGCAAGGACCAGCAGAGCCTCCTGCCCCTAACCCCATCCAGCACTATTGTCACAGGCATATTTCATTCTGGTTGAGGCCCTGAGACTCCTGTTGGGATGTCACCCCTACCCCCTACCAGAGGGAAAGCACTTTAAGCCATCACTAACTCCTGGCAGTTCAGACCCCCTGCCTCAGGCCATTTGTAAGAGGAGAAAAGGGTTGGAATCAGGTGGGGAGTCAAAGAGGGAGACCCCACCAAAGTAGGGCAGTGGGAATGGACCTCAGGCCTGCTTCACGAGCATGGTGTGACCTTGGGAAAGTTGCCTCCCTTCTCTGGGCCTAGCTCGCCCTTGCCAAAAGCAGACAGTGCAGGAGGCACAGGGGCCGATTCATAGCAGGTACTTGGTAGAAGGCTGTTCCCTCCTCTTCCTGGTTCCCAGAGCCCAGGACTCCAAAGCACATTCCTGTATGGTGCTGCCTTTCAGAATGTCACCAGCCTGAGGGTCTAAAACAGAACTGGGTCCCGCTTCACACCCCAGCAGAGAAAGGCCTGTTCCAGGAGCACCATCAGGGCATCCTCCAGACGCTGCTTTGATTCCAGCAATGATGAGTGGTCCGTGGCTGCCACCTTGTGGCCCAGCACAGGACTGCAGCCAGCGCCCTGAGCTGGGGCAGTGGCCGTAGCAGAGCAGGGGGTGCCTCCAGTCTCACCCACTCAGGTGGTCCTCAGGGCCAGCTGGGCAGTGCAAGGTCGGATCCAGGAGCAGATTCCGGCCCCCGAGCACTTGGATAAGGGGGTCCACTAGCCCTATCCTGGCTGGAGGCAGAAGGGTCAGACATCGACCTGTGGATCTGGCCAGAGCGACCTGTGGATCTGGGAGACTCAAGGGGCTTGGCCCCAGCCTGTGAAACAGGTCAGCAGGACTCAGGGAACCGGTTCCAGTCTCCTGCTATATACCTCCAATTCCTGAGACAGCGAGAGGGAACCTGAAGTCCAGCTCCCCAAGTCTTCCACTGGACCCCAGGCTCCCCAGAGCTGGATGTCTGAGTCGGAGGTCACGTGGCCCATCCCCACCCACTCTGCCCAGCCCCACTGGCTGAGGCTAAGGACGGGAAGTCAGCCTGTCCGCCCGCTGAGCCCCCGAAGAGTGGGTGGTAATGAGGCTCTAGGGAGAGGTGGGAATGTGGTGTCTGGCACCTCCCCAGGGAGTCCCAAACCCATCTCTGAGCAGTTCATTATCTCCCCTGCAGGCCAGGGCCTAGTCTTGGAGGAGATGGCCAGGCAGTGCCCAGCGAGGGCAGCCCCATAGTGCATGACAGGCCCCACTTTTGGAGGGGTAGGCACTGGGGCCACAGGTGACCCGAAGGTGCTTCTTCCTAATTTGCTCACGCTCCTGTGGCTCTGACCTTGCGTCTCCAGCAGGGGGCTGCTGCAAGGGTACCAGGCCTGAGTCACTGACATACTACACCCAGGCCCCAGCTGGGACTGCAGCAGGACAGGGGCTCATGTCCAGCCAGAGTCAGTGCTGGACAGGAAAGGACCGGCATTTCCAGCCTGACTGCATGATAGTACAATGGGGAAGGCATGGAGACAGGCCAGGGCTCTGCTTGGGGAAGTGGGTCATCTGAATAACTCAGGGCCTGGAGAAAGCAAGGCCTAGGTTCTCAGCTTCAGGCACTAGGCACTCACCCCTGGGCTTCCCGACCTCCTGTCCCTCCAACCCCACGACGCCCAATCGCTTTAACCAATCACAGGTCTCAGCACCATAGGGTAAAATATACAGATATGTTTATGTTATCAAAAAACCCCAAATGGGGGAAGGGGCATCAGGTAGTCTGGACCCCCCAGTCAGCTCATACTGGAAGGGAGGCTGAAGTCCCCAAAGCGCAGCTCTCAGCCCTGTAGAAGCTCAGCCAAAAGCTCCCTCCCCCTGAGCTGAGTGCTCCTCTAGAGCACCCGCTTTCTGCTCTTCCGGAGTTTGCTGGGGGTAGCAGGGGGCTCCCTTCTGGCGGAGGCCCCAGGGCCTCATGCCCCTGAAAGGGTGGTGATCCTCCCAAGTTCCTGACTTATGCCCATCTCTCCAGCACCACAGGGACAGTGAACCCGGCGGGGGGGAGCAGGTTGGGAGAGGTTCCCGCCCAGGCTGACCCTGCTGCCTCCCACCCCTGCCGGGGAACCCCATGCTGCAGTCAGGATGGAGGATGTGGGGTGTGGGGTGCAGTTTCCCAAGCACCCCCTACTGGCTCACACCAGGCCTTGGAGCATAAGGGGTGTCTGAACAGGCTTCCAGCGGTGGAATCCTAGAGCCAACGATGGGCTCCTGTGCTCAAACGTTGCGCAGGAGCTGCAGGAGGGGAACAGGCCCACAGATATTTTGTGAAGGACCAGAGGGGTCGGCGCCCCGCTCAAGCTGCTGCAGCCACTCTCCACTGCCAGCGGGGAGCACTCCAGTCCAGCGGGGAGCACTCCAGTCAGCCAGGCTCCCAGCTCCCAGGGCCAGGCAGAAGGGAGTCCCGCTCCCAGGGCCAGGCAGAGGGGAGTCCCAGCTCCCAGGGCCAGGCAGAAGGGAGTCCCAGCTCCCAGGGCCAGGCAGAAGGGAGTCCCAGCTCCCAGGGCCAGGCAGAGGGGAGTCCCAGCTCCCAGGGCCAGGCAGAGGGGACTCCCAGCTCCCAGGGCCAGGCAGAGGGGGCTCCTTTGAATGGTGTGAACCAAAGGGGCCTATGAGGGCCCCCACTGAGGCTGGACGGAGGGGGCCGGAGGGCAATAGGGGAGGGCAATCAGGGCAATCATCTACTGTGGAGTAGAAGGCAGGCACCCAGCCAGGCCCCCAGTCCCCTGCCCAAAGACATGGAGAGCCACTCACAGAGAGAGGGTCCGCGGTGAAGGCAGCCACACTCCGGCGCATTTCATTTTCACTACCTCGAAGGGGGATCAGTGACACGCTGCCCAGCCGGACCTCAGGCACCGCCCGGGACACACGTGAGGGTTCTGAGGGCCACACCAGGCCGTCGTGCTGGGGAGCAGAGAGAGGAAGGGGCTGGGCTCAGCTTCAGCTCACCCAGACATTCAGCCTCAGATCTGCCCACCCTTCCCAGAAATGCCTCCAGCTGTGATCTGAGATGACGCCCTCAGCTTTGATCCCAGCCGATACGAGAAGCAGCTGTGGGGAGAACATGACTGCATCTCTGGCAAAACACGGCCAGTTCTGTTAGTCAACTCCAATCTCCGGATCCACAAACCCCTCCAAGAACCAAGAAAACATTTCTCTTAGAGGAACATGGCTGTGCCCCGTCTTAGGAACCAGGAACTACAGAATCCACCGTTTCCCTTTAGGCTTTGCTTACCACGAAACTCAGGGCTAAAAGAACACAGCTCTAAGAAAGAACTCAGCCCAGCACCCTGGTCATTTTGTCTCCCTTTTCCCTAAACACTTATGAGCTCTCACTTTAAAAACTCTTTGTCTTAACTCATCTGTTTTAAGTCTAACCCAGCCTCTGGCCCTGCTCTGGCTCAGGAGTCATCCCCACCATGTCTCTGCCTGGGCTACCACAGCCACTGCCTCACTGGCCTGCTCACCTCTGGGCTCTACCCTCCGTCCCTCTTTCTGACGCTGCACCCAGAGTGAGCCCTCGCAGACTCAAGCCTGCACCACACTCTGCCTAAATGCCACCCCCACCCCCCGCCAGTGGTTCCCCACTGACCTCTGTGTCGAGTTAAGTTTCCCTGGCATGGCCTACAAGGCTCTTTGAGATTCTGCTTCTCACTCCCTTTCCTGTGTTGACTTCCAGCACTCCTGGCTTCTCCCCTCACATTCCACTTTAACAATCTGTGCTTCTCTTGCATATCTCTGGACCTTTGCCTAAACCATTCCCTCTGCCTAGAAGCCATTCCCCTCTTTGCTTGAATTCTCCCACATTTCCTAAAACTCAGATCCCCTAGGCTCTCCACTGCCACCACAGCACTCATCACACTGGGCTATAACTGGCCACTTCTGGGTCTGTTTTCCTGTTCACATAAGGGGTGCCCCAAGGGCAGGGTCTGTGTCCTGTCTGTCCCTAGCATCCCTGGCTTGGAGCTAGACTAACAGTAGGTGCTAGGAAGGGTTTATTGAATAAACTAGCAAATCAATTAAAAGCAACTCAAAATCTCCTTGAAGCAAGGGGTGGGCTGAATAGCACAGAAGCCAATGTCCCCATTCTCCATAATGGAAGCCTCCAGGGACCCACCCCACACCCCACACTCTGCACCTGGTACCTGCACGAACAGGAAGGTAGCAAACCACTCCCGGAGCTCCATCTGTGTGTCACAGCAGAGGTACCTGCAGGGTGGGACACGGACCTGCATGATGCCAAAGGCCTAACTGAGCAGGGAACACCGTGTCTGCCTCCCCAGCCCAGGGTCTGCTAGTGGACACAGATCTGGGCAGTGATGAGGGACCCAATCAAGGGCGATGTGCCACCAACTTTCCTCAGCCTGGGGTCTCAGGCTGAGGCGCTCACTCACCACTGCTGTTTCTCATGTTTCTCTGTTTCATGCACCACTGTGAAGCCCCAGCTGCAGAGGAAGAGGGGAGAGAGTGGGGTGTTTGACAGGCCATAGAGGCTCAACGCCCCGGTTCCCAGGACAGAACCCAGAAGCCACAGCCAGAGCCAGAGTTCAGAGCCTTCTCACAAGAGTGACACGTCCTGGCCTCTTCCTCTCTCAGCCCCCACCAGCCTTCCAGGCCCTTGACACCCCTAAGCCCCAGCCCCACCCTCAGAATCTGTGATTCAGTAGGAATGGGGTGACACCTGAGAATTTGTGTTTCTTTTCTTTTTTTTTTTTTTTTTTTTGAGATAGGGTCTCACTCTCACTCTGTCGCCCAGGCTGGAGTGCAGTGTCGTGACCACCGATCACTGCAGACTCAAACTCCCGGGCTCAAGTGATCCTCCCGCCTCAGCCTCCTGAGTAGCGCGCCACCAAACCCAGTTAATTTTTGTATTCTTTTTGCAGAGACAGGGTCTCACCATGTTGCCCAGGCTGGTTTCGAACTCCTGGGTTCGAGCAATCCGCCTGACTTGGCTTCCCCAAGAAATGAGATTACAGATACGAGCCATTGCACTTGGCCGAGAATTTGTGTTGAAAGTGTGTCCAGGTGATGCTGCTGGTCTGGGGACCACACCATCAGAGCCCCTGTACTGACCTCTGTCAAATTAAAAACCCCAGCTGTGCCTCCCCTATCAGTTCTGAGCCCCCACAGGCCCCAGCAGCAGGCCTATCTGCCCAGTCCCAGCTTACCAGGTGGGTGGCCTGAGTTTCTTCTTCACTCCCAGGTAGACTCTGAGACTCTTGACGGGCCACTCCTTCTCAGGCCGGTGACTCTGGGGTAGGGTGAGGAGAAGAGGGCACTTTAGTCTGCAGAAAGGGCACTGGGGCTGCTCTCCCGACCGGGCACCTCCCTCTTCCCACTCCCCAGCCCTCTTTGCATCCCAGCACAGAGCACCTCCTCCAAGAAGCCTTCCTTTTAAAGCCCTCCCTGTTCACAATCCAGCCCAACCAACCTCCCAGCCCTAGGCCCCCAAGGTCTGTCTCCCTGCAGCAGTATCAGACAGTCAACCCTCAGTCTCTGAGGCAGCCGTCCCAACTGGGACACCTATAACAGCAAATCCCAGCACCACCCTGATGCCCTGCAAACTGGAGGACTTGAAGCATCAGCCTGAATCAGATTGTATGTGGAGGGAGAACTGCACATCCTCCCCCAGCACCAAGCTGGAACAAGCAGGTGTGATCACAGAGCCTCAGTTGGCTGCTCGTGTCTATGTTCGTCTCAGATTATTCATTTCTCAGCCCTCCCTGCCCCACGGAGGCTCCAGGGTTGACCGTGTGAACAGAAGGCTTGAGGGACCAGCAGTTACTAGCTCTTTGGTTCCACAAGAAGGCTAATGACTCAAGCTTAAGCAGAACAGCTATTCAATAGACCACAGGAAGAACTTCCCAATGGTCTAGGTCAGGAAGCGAGAGACCAATGTACTGGGGAGGGGCACCAGATTGCCAAAATGTTCACCTCTGGCCCCCACCTCTGCATATGGGTCTGGGCTTGGAAGGAGCAGGCTGGCTCGGAGGCAGAGGGATGGGGGCAATGACCCCCAAGGAAGGTCAAGCTAATGAGGCTTTCTCCTGCTCTGGGAGCCACTTGCTTGAAGCCCTACCCCTACCAAGCACCCCTGGAGCCCACAGGGGCACCAGGGTGAATGGCACGGGAGGGAGATTCACTTACAACCAAAACTGGGGGTCAAAGACTGAGCTACCGCCCCCCTGTTCCCCACCATTGCTGCCAGCCACCTCCAGGCATGGCTCCTCAGCAGGGGCCAGAGAAGGGACAACCAGGGGAGAGGGAAGTTTTGGGAATTGGTGGACTTCCTGTGATATCACAAAAGGATGGGCTGCCTAGGGACTGGAGGAGACCTCTGTGCTCTCACAGGGGGTGTGGCTTAGGAGGGCCTTAGTAAGGACTTTTCACTCTGCTTTCACCCCAATACCTGCTGATTGGAAAGCCTCATGTCTTCTATAGACAGCACCTAACCTGATTATGGGCATGTGCCCAGGAGGGCCTGGTACCAACTGGGCTGCAGGCATGGGACAATCAGGGTTGCAGACAGGGAGGAAATTAGGCAGGCGGAAGGAAATCAGGCTTCGGACATGGAAGAAACAAGATGTGGGGGAATACAAGGAAGAAACCTGTATGCACATACAGAAGCAGCAAGGCTGGGAGCACTAGCAATCGGCCTGCAAACTGGAAGACAGCTGATGGCAGAAATGGAAAGACTTGAGATAGAGGCTGTAAAAGAGATTCGGCTGCAGGCACGGTAAACACAAGGCTCTGGGCATGAGGGAGGAAGGATGCGGGGGAAACTGGACTCCAGGTACAGGAGGAGTTGGGCTGAGGGGATGGAAAACAGGCTGTGGGTTTGGAAGAAGTCAGGCTGTGGGTGGGAGGGGAACAGAACTAGAAGCAAGCAGTCAAGTGAGTCGAGGGTGGACAGGACAGGCCCAGTCAGGCGCAGAGACAGCTGCAGGAATCAAGGTATTCAAACCAGGCTGTGGCTCCAAGAATGAAAACACAACCCTCAGGCCTCCGATTCCCTGGGGTCTGATGTGCACGGCACATGTGTGATGTAAGGGTGGCTGAGACAGGAAGTCTGCAAAAGGGGGTCTTGGGAGGGAAGGATGTCAGTCAATGCAATCTCCTTTTGAGAATGAATCCCCCAAGTTGGAGTGTTGTGGTGCAATCTCAGCTTACTGCAACCCCACCTCATGCGATCAAGCCATTCTCCCACTTCAGCCTCCTGAGTAGCTGGGACTGCAGGCATGTACCACCATGTCCAGCTAATTTTTATAGAGACAGGGTTTCACCATGTTGTACCAGGCTGGTCTCAAACTCCTGGACTCAAGCAATCCTCCCACCTCGGCCTCTCAAAGTGCTGGGATTACAGGCATGAGCCACTGCACCTGGCCCAAGGACTTCATTTCTAATCGGACAGCTCATGTTTCCAGTATCTCCAAGGCACGGGGCCACAGGCAGACAACGAAGTTTACTCTTGATGCTTAACGATCTCTGCTGGGACCAAGATCTTTCTAGCATGTGCCTTTTCCAGGTGCCTCAGGGTTTTTAATAAGAGGAGACCCCCAGGATAAGGCACAAGTGGCCATGTATCCTGCTGAATCACCTGAGATTGTTCCAATTTCAAATATTCTGTCCTACTGCCGCATAAACCAACAAATGCCAGAAATGATAACCCCGTGGTAACCAGCCCACATCTGCTCAGGGCCTCTGCCAGGCCAGAGGTGTTGGCTGTCACTGGGGTGTGGAAAGCACCACCTACTCTGTGCTGAGCACCCCTCCCTGCTGAGTCCTCAAGTCTGAGACTTCCAGGAATATAAGCTTGTGTTTCCACACTAAGAAACCTGGGTGCGAGTCCCAGTCTACACTTACAGATGGCCTTGGGCAAGTCACACAAAGCCTGTTTTCTCACCTGGAAGTGGGGACAGCCCTCTTCCTCAGAGAACAGTAGTAAGGATTCCATGTCTCAGTATGTGAGGGGCCAGCACTAAGCCTGGTTCCTTAGGGAACACTAGATCTCATCCCTTTTTCGAGCTCTTCTGCCTCCTTCCTTCCATGCCCAGGGATCCACAGCTGCCTTTCCAGGTGCCTCAGCCATCCTCCCTCCCTTCTGCCCACGGCAAGGGTTCTAAGCGCTCCTAGAGGTCGGGGGCCAGGGAGAGAGCATCCCAGAACCAAGGGGGATTGACTGGACAGGCGGAGAGGCTCAGAAGTGAGGATGTGATCACAGAAGAGGGCAAAGGAGAGAAGAGACGGCGTTTCCCACAGGGTTAGCAGGAGCCCGGGATGCATTAGAAGAGGCACAAAATGCAAAGAGAGGGAGATGAGGTCCTGTTCTATCGGCTCTGCTCCTGCCATGGCAGCCAAGCCTATTCAGACAACCTCAGGAAATGCAAGGGGCAGGAAGAGGCTGAAGACACTGGGGGTGCGGTGGGGGGTAGCTGTGGGAGCTCAGGCTAGACCACCAGGCCTGGAACCATGTCTCTGCTGCCCATCTTGCAGGGCAGCAGTCCCCAATCTTTTTGGTGCCAGGGACCAGTTTTGCGGACAATCATTTTTCCATGGATGGAGGGATGGTTTTGGGATGAAACTGTAAAACCTCAGATCTTCAGACATTAGATTCTCATAAGAAGCACACAACCTAGATCCCTCGCTTGCACAGTTCACAGTAGGGTTCACACTCTTAGGAGAATCTAATGCCGCTGCTGACCTAACAGGAGGCAGAGCTCAGGCAGTAATGTTCACTCGCCCGATGCTCACCTCCTGTTGCATGGCCCTGTTCCTAACAGCTGGGAATCCCTGCTGTAGGGGCATCTATGCTCTGTGGCCCCCAAGGCATAGCTGGGACCCACAGGGGCATCATGAGATGCAGATTCTCAGCAGAACCTGAGCAAGGACCTTCTCTCAGACAGAAGTATCCCCCTAGGAATAGGGTGGCCCCAAGGGCGGAGGGGATGAGCTCTCTCTCCTAGGACTGTGCAGAGTGGAAACAGCCAGCCAGGGAGGCCTCAGAGAGACTCCTACCCCAGGTGGGGGATATCCCACAAGCCTCTCTCGTCCCACCCTGGCATGTCAGGATAAGGGCAGTAGTAAGAATGTTCTGACAGTCCTGGAACACTGTCCAGGGTTAGAAATAAGGAGGCTGCAGGGATGACAGGAGATCAGAGCTCTAATTCAAACCTAGGTGCCATCATTACTGGATCTTTAACTTCCACACAGAGTCCTTTGGAAAATTCTAGAGCACTGCACTGATAGGGAACCCTATCTTGGGGAAAGGACCCTGGGACAGGATTAGGGATAAAGGGGAGGAGCTTAGGCCCAGGATAGGGGCTAGTGCCGACCGGCAAGCGGGCAGGGAACCATGCCTGGAGATGGCCAGGAGCCCTGGCTGTGTCCCCATGCTCCTACCCAGCTCATTTGGCCCCCAGGTGGTGTAAGGCAGCTGGCAGTCAGCCCACAGCTACTCACGGTCTCAGGGGCCCCGCTCCACGGCCTCTGGCTCTGTTTGATAGAGGATCAGGGTTATGGAAGAAGCCCCAGGTCTAGAGCCAGGACAGCATGTGCAGTGATGTGTGGGGTTGGGGTGTATGTGTGGCATGTATGTGCAGAAGGTGGAGGGTGCCTAGTGGAGTCTGGGTTGGGAGAACACCTGCATGTGGACAAAATGAGTGAGGAGGGTGGCTCGGGAGGTGTACGATGTACGATGTGACAAGGCATGCATGGGCCACAACTTGGGGCTGTCATCAAGTAACAGGTTCCTGTGGGTGCAGTGATAAGGCACAGGCACAGTGAGACAGAGCATGGGCATGGAGTGGTGTGATGGCATCCGGGTGCCAGGGCCTAGTGGGGCTACAGGGCACAGTAGAGTGGACATCCAGGGCCACAGCAGGAGGGGCCTTGAGAGTCTACAGTTCTCCCCCACTGCTGTGCTATCCTGAGAGCCTGCAACAGGAATATTTCTACTTGCAGACCAAGGGGAATCTCTGAGCACATTCAGGGGTACAGGTGCACAACCTGAGGCCGAACCCAGTGGGGCCACTTACCCGGACCTCCTTGTAGAGCCGCAGGCAGCTGCTGTTGAGGATGAAGTAGCGATCGTGGAAGCCACCTGAGGGCAGGCCCAGGCCCAGGAGGCTGCGGTCCTCACGGAACTTCATCATGCCATGCTTGGTGTCACTGACACGGCTGGCTGGGGGGGGACTGGAGTGGGTACAGGCTGCACCAACCCAGCTGGGGCTGGGTCCCAGGACGAAGGAAGCTGCCCCATCCTGCCCCAGCCTCTCCACAGAGGCCCACCCACCTGGTGCCCTCTGCCTGAGCTGCTCCTACCTGGCACCGCCAGGTCCCACCCTGGCTCTGGAAGAGGGGAATGCCCGGAGCCTGGCCACCCTGCAGGCACCACCTACCCAGGTACAGCAGCATGGCCTCCATAGCCTGGTGCTTCTTCACCACCAGGTGGCTGTCCGTGCCCAGCCCGTGCAAGATGGGCAGCACCTTCTCCGCAAAGTGCAGGGGGCGCTCTGGGGAGAGGTCACACCTACCGTCACTGGGACCATATGGCCCGATACCACCAAGGGCTGGCAGATGGGCACATATCACCTACACATCCCCGGTCCACTCCAACCATCTGCAAGTGCCACGACACAAAACACTACCATCACGACCGCCCTTCCCATGACCAAGCTTCAGGCTTGACACACCTGGCTGTGACCAAAGCTGCTCCAATTCAACATGTGCAAAACCATGCCTGTGATCTCCACCCCCTGCCTCCCTTCCTGCCCTCCCCGTGGCCCCCATCGGGGAAACACCACCACCACCACCCACCAGGCTGCTCCATCCAGAAACAAACCTCTCCTCCCTCTCCTGATCCGCATGTCAAATCTCTCTGCTCTGTCCATCTCCACTGCTGCCACCCCAGCCCACATTACTGCCTTCTCCTCAGACTAAACCATGGCCTTCAAAGTGTGCTCTAATTTCCCTCTCCCCACCCAGCAGCGAGTAGCAATCTTCTTAAACTCTTACTCACTAACCCTCCGATGGTCTTGCATTGCTGCTAGGCCCTGCGTGGCTGCCTCTGCCTTGATCTCCAGCCCCACCCATGTCACCATCCCCTCACTGCCCTCGTCTCCTTGAAAGGGCTGTGCCTCTGCCCACCACAGGGCTTTTGCCTTCTTCACCAAATAACCCCTACTCTTCCTTCCCATCCTGGCTCAGGAAAGATCTGGTGATGCCATGGGTCTTTCCTCCACAGCAGTTAATGCAACTGTAGTTGAATATTTATTGGTGTGATCATTAGACTAATGCCTCCATCCCCTACCAGACTAACCCCAACGAGGATAGGGACTATGTGTGTGGCTCCCCAGCCCACTGCCTGGCACTCAACAAAGACAGTAAAACAAATGAACACATACAGCCTCATCCTCCACTGCCATCAAGATCACCTTTACCATAAATTACCTTTCTCCCCTCAACCATCACCATTGTCACTGACACCTAAGAAAGCACCATCACAGTCAACACCATCTACCCCTTCACTGTCCCTTCTATCAGCCACATGACAGGCATAACCTCAATCCCTGCCAGCACCCTATCACCACCGTCACAGAGATCAGTGTGACAGCAACACGTCATCAAAGTCCTTTTCACCACCCATCCTCATGTGCAGGGTAGGGGAGGACAGACTGGGGCTACAGCTGAGACAAGCCATACCACACCCTGCACAAGCCCAGGGTCACCCACCTGCCTCCTCCCTCTCGTTAACCTCAAAGCAGGTCCAATAATCCTTCTCCCTGATGCCTACATTCCGGCGATCCAGGATCTCCAGGGTGAGCTCCTCAGCAGTCATGGATGCTGGGATCTGCAAGGACCAAGGAGAAGATTAGCCTACCTGTGCCTGGCCCCTGCTCTACCATAACCTTGCTACGTGATTCAGAGCCTGAGCCCATCCTTCTCAGGCCCTTCTTGAGTCCTGGGATACAGAGGGGTATTTCTGAGTAGTTCTTAGGAGCAGGCCCCAGCACCAGCCAGATACAGGTCCCAAACTGGTCCTCTCCTTGGGATGGAAGCACTGCTCCCCTGGCCATCTGAGCCTGTGCCTGGCCCAGCCTGACTCTCTGGCCCCTTGGCTTCTAGGTCCCAGCACCTACCTTGACATGCTGCTCGGTCTCTGCCTTCTTCTCCTCCAGATACACTGTGCAGATGAAGTCACCAGCATGCTGCAGGGAGACAGGGCTCAGCTGGGGGCCTAGAAAATGGGCGCAGGTGGTAGGCCCAAGCCCCCCACCCAGGCTCCAGACTTCACCTGGGTCCCACTGGCAGTGCCAGCCACACGCATCTTCACAATGGCAGTGATCTCCTCCCGCTGCTTCCTGAGCTCTTCCTCATCCACCTGGGAAGGGGCGAGGGGCAAGGACAGGTGGTCACCACCATCTGGAAGGCTCATCCCTGCCCTCCACTGCCCACTGACCAGGGACGCACACTAAACACCACCACATAGTGGTTAATGAGGTCTTCTACCACACGGCCAGCCTTGTAGTCCTGCCCATCTGTCTGGAAGAGCGTGGGCCCAAACACAATTGCCAGGTTGTGCACATTCATCTGGTTCGTGTCTGAGAAGCACTGGACACTGGAGAGAGGCGGAGGAGGGCCTTGAGTGAGGAGTCAGGCCAGAGCTTCCCATCTCTCCCTGTTAATTTCTGACAGGTCCAAGACTGGTCTGATCAGAGGGGACCACTATTTAATGGGGTAGGAACAGTTTTTCTGGCCATATCTTGGGTCCTGGTAGGAGTAGGACTGGGAAGCTGGGAGATCCAGCCAAGGTAACCTGGTCCCAAGTGGAAAAATCCTCTATAACAGTGGCCCCAACAGTTCTGGCACCAGGGATTGGTTTCATGGAAGACAATTTTTCCAAGGACAGGATGGTGGGGGCAGGGGATGGTTTCAGAGGCATTAGATTCTCATAAGGAGTGCGCCACCTCCCATGTGCAAGTTCACAATAGAGTTCCGATCCTTTGAGAATCTAACGTTGCGGCTGATCTGACGGGAGGCAGAGCTCAGGCAGTAACGCCTGTTCACCCACCACTCACCTCCTGCTGTGCAGCCTGGTTCCTGACAGGCCACAAACCTGTACTGGTCTGTGGCCTGGGGGCTGGGGACCCCTGCTCTACAAATGTCCAATGTTAGGGCAGATCACAGTCAGCACTTGGTGCAGAAGCCCAGCTGGCTCCCAGGGGAGGGCAGTCAGGCGGGGGGGGCGGGTAGAAGAACCTTCACCCCATCCCCCCAGTCTCACAATGGTATCCTCCCTCACCAGTACAGGTGGCTGATAAGGGCCTTCACTGTGGCCCGGTTGACAGGTGGCAGCCGCACCAGGAGCTCTCGGTACCTGGAGACCTTCTCCTCCTCATCCTCAATCTCTGGGTGGGAAAGAAAAATCAGGTCAGAAACCCCCTGTAACTATCATCTCCTCACCCCGCCCGGGCTGTCCTGCTTCTCATGGTGGGTGACAGCAGTCCCTGTGCCCTCCAAGTCAATGCAGGCCAGGCACTCAACCAGGGTAAGGAACTCTGGGTCTTCCAGGGCCCCGGGCTCCGTATGGAGTGGCGATGGGAATGACAAGCAGAGGCGGGCAACTGGAGCCGGTCGGTTAGGGTGAGTCTAGTGCAAGTGCCAGAAGGGAAGGGTGGAGGAGTCCGGAGGGATGGGTGGAGGAGGCTGGGCACGGGCTGCAGGGCCCACCTGAGGCCTCCAGCCAGGCTAGGCGCTGGGCACGAGTGAAGAGCCCATCGGGCAGGTCGCGCAGGAAGCGCTTGAGCGCCGAGGAAACATCATCCACGTGCTGCTCGCCCTCCTTGAGGTGCACAGAGCGCGCATCCTGCCGCAGGCTCTCCAGCAGCCGCTGCGTCTTCGACGTCTGCCCACACTTGCGGTAGATGCCCTCGGAGGTCAGGCCTAGGGAGGGGCGGGGCCAAGCGTTTGGGGCCTGAGGCATTGCGTCATGGGGCGGGGCCACGCAGCTCTGGGACGGGAGGCGGCTCTCTGGGAGGGGGCGGGGCCGGCACCCCAGGGGCAGGGCTCACCGCACTGCGTGATGTAGTCCACACAGCGGTACACGATCACCGGGATATCCGAGTCCCCAAGCTGCTGCTCCGACAGCGTGTCCCCCATGCTGGCGGCTGCTTTCTGGATGGCCCCCAGCCAACCCATGAAGTCCAGCCGCCGCTCGCCCTGTATGTACAGTGTCCTGGACCAGTGACAGTCAGTCACTGAGGGGCCTACACCTATCCCACCCTGTCCCCAGGCCCATCAGACGGCTCCAGGCTTCTCAGAGCCCCTCAGGGAGGCCGTGGCTCACCTCCTTCGCTCCACCAGCACCAGCACCTGGTTCTCACTGTCCCCCTGGATGGCTGTGGAGGGGTTAGTCAAGGTGAGGCCCAGGTCTTGTTCCTGATCCCCAACCTGCTCCCTCCCTCTCTGAGCGCACACACATCCTTAGGACCCGCCCGCCAATGTATGGGGTAGCTGAGATGCACTCCAAGGACATGAGAGGGCAGGATGGCAGCTCTGGCCAAGCCAGGCAGAGCTCAGACTTCCAGGCAAGGGCTGGGGGCCTGGGAGCCCAGGATAGGGTGCCCTGGAGGCTGGGGGCCCGGGTCTGGTCCACGCACAAAGCTCCTGCAGTTTCCGTAGTTGCAGCGGCTCTTCGCAGGGCCCCTCCGGGAAGACAGCGCGGAGCTCCGAGCCACTGAGAGAGAACCAGCCCTCCTGGGCCCGCTGTAGGCTCAGGCCAGCTTTGTAGGGTAGGCGTCCGAGCCGCTCAAAATCGCGGGCCAGCAGATCCTCAGCCAGGGGAGGCACGAATGCCTGGCAGAGAGGCAGCCGGGGGAGACAGCATCAGCCAACAGCACTGCCTGCCCCAATGCCCCAGCTTCTTGGCTTACAGGCAGGTGCCCTCTTCCCACCCAGCGGCCTTCTCTTCCCCAAGGCAGAACCAAGCCCACAGATGGAACTTGGGTACCATGTCCCACTTCATACCCACTTAGATGTGCCCACCTCTGGAAAGCCTTCCCAGACACTTTCTGGAGGGCCCTTCTCTGGGCCCCTACAGCACCAAAGCATTCTTGCCCTCTGTTGTGGCACTGGTTACACTGTTGCTGCCGCCTGAACCCCACCCGCAGGGGAGCTGTCTTCCACACCCACATGGGAGCTACTGAAGAGCTAGGACTAAGCCTGGTTCATCTGGGTCCCCAGGTCTCTGCGGGCTGACTCTCAAGAGGCGCACAAGACAACTGATCAATGGACAAGTGAATGATAAAAAGTCACAGGCTCTTACAGCACAGGGGACCCCACAGGCACCTGGCTCTAGTCCCCGAGGCAGAGCTCTCCCCGTGGCCTCCCTGCCTCTTCCCTCCAGCCTCTGCTTGCTTGCCTCCAGGAACAAGGAGCACACTCCCCTGGAGGCGGCACTGTCCATCCTAAGATGGCTCTGACTGTCATTCACTTATTGAGCACCCGTGGAGTACAAGGCCACAGCCCTTCTTCTGCAGAGCTAAGACAGGTCTGACCAACCCTGCAGAGGGCTGCAGATTACAGTAGGCCCTTGGTGGGACAGGCCTGCTCCATGTCTGCTGCCCTCCATCTAGCTGCTGCTCTCTAGATGGGGGAGCTGGGATACATGGGATTGGTCAGGAGGCCCCACCTTCCCCCGTCAGACACCCTTACACCCGCCCTGCTACCCCAGGCCCACCTTAGCAATACACTTGACCCACTCATGAGCCTGCTCCATGCTCTCCAGCCCAAACAGGTACAGCCGTTCTCCCTCTGTGTACACCTCAAAGGTGTGCTCAAAGCTGCAAATACACAGGCCAGGACTCAGGCCCACCTCATCCAGCACTGGCCCACCCCCAACCTGCACCATCAACCGCCATCCTCTGCCCCCTCCACACTGCCTTGGCGCTTGTCCTTACTCGGTCCCCTAAGAGGTGGTGGAAAAGTCTTGGGCTGAGGCCTCAAAAGACCGGGGTCGGCCCTTATGCAGCCTCCGTTTGCTGTGTGACCCTGGGGAGGTCCTCCCCTTCTCTGGGCCTATTTCCCTGTCTCCCCAGTGGGGGACTGTACCTTATAGCAACCACAGTCTGATTTGCCCAGGGGTGCTCACCCATGGGTATCGGGAAGGGGCACTGCCAGGCACACAATCTCGCTGGCCCGAATCTCTCCGTTGGGGGTCACTGCCCGCTCATTCTCATAGTAGCTCAGGACCCCGTCACTAAGGACACACCAGCGCCGGCTGAACTCTGGGGAGAATTTGGGCAGGGGAGCCATCAGGGAGCCCCCCACCACCTGAAAACCACCTCTGCATCCTCCCAAGGCTCCCACTCCCATCTGACCCATGTGCTCTTCATTCTCTCAAGTTTCTCCCAAATCCATCCACCTCTCTGCATCTCCACCATGCCAGCCAGCCCACAAGTCATCCTCTCCCCCAGGCCTCTAAGGCAGCCCCTTCCAAAATCCCAGAGTGATCTAGCTAAAATCAGACCACATCCTTCCTCTAACCAAAACCATTCCATGGTCTTCAGGACAGACTCTGCACCCCTCAGCCTGCCATTCAAGGCCCTGCCAGGTCTACCCCTGCCTGTCTCTCCAGCTGCCTCTCTGTCACTCCTGGACACACATATCCCCACCCAGCACTCCCAGCTTTTGCAAACCCTGTCCCCTCCACCCACCACCTGAATGTCACAGGAAAACTTCTATGCCCCCATCTCCTTTTCTAGAAGCACCCATCACTCTCTACTCTGCCTCCTGCTATAATGGCTTTGAGAGACTGACAAGGTCCCACAAAAGAAATAGAAAGGAGAATCTGGACCAGGAAAGGTAATGGAAAGGATAGGTTGTCATGGCCATGCAGGCTTATACAGTTCACAGCACTGAGCTTTACAGTGGCTCAGAGCTTCCTGGCATCCAGGGCAAAAAGGATGACTCAGGCAGTTGTTACATAAATGACATTATCAGGCAGAGGGAGGCAGACCTGGGGCAATGAGGTTGTGAACAGCATGAAGTTCCAAAGAAATCTCTTTGGGAGTCGAAGGGCTTCATCCCTATAGGAGAGCACGCAGGAGGTGCTGAGGGATGTTGTCAGCAATGACCTCACAATGTTCCCACAGCAGACTCTGCCTCTCATCCTGTCTGTGAGGGCCTGACATTTGCTCTCTGAGGTCAATGTTTCCTCAGGTCTGACCCTGTGGATGGGCTCCCTCCAGGAGCACCAGCTCTGCCTGAGTCATCCTTCATTCTGCAGATATTTGCCAAGTGCCCACTGTGTGCTAGCCACTGTTCTAGGATCTGAGGGCTACAGGCAGTGGTGGCCAAAAGGAGTTTATGTCCCAGTGGGGTACAGAGAATCTATAGATAAGTACATTAATGGACAAATGAGTACCAGGTAAGTGACGTGAAGAAAATGCAGGGTAGCCGGGCGCGGTGACTCACGCCTGTAATCCCAGCACTTTGGGAGGCCGAGGCGGGCAGATCACCTGAGGTCGGGAGTTTGAGACCAGCCTGACCAACATGGTGAAATCCCATCTCTACTAACTAAATTAGCCAGGCATGATGGCGCATGCCTGTAATCCCAGCTACTTGGGAGGCTGAGGCAGGAGAATCGCTTGAACCCGGGAGACAGAGGTTGCGGTGAGCCGACATTGAGCCATTGCACTCCAGCCTGGACAACAAGAGCGAAACTCTATCTCAAAAAAGAAAAGGAAATGCAGAGTAAAGGGAGAGATGGGGGGTGCTATTTTGCATAAGGTAGTCAGAGATGACATCTCTGCAGGAGTGATACTGAAACAGAGACCTGAGGAAAGTGAGGGATTGGCCATGCAGATACCTGGGGGAAAGCATTTCAGGCAGAGGGAACAGCACGGGCAAAGATCCTGGTAGGTGACAACATGTCTAAGAAACAGTGAGGAGACCAGCAGAGTGATTAGGGGGGTGGTTCAGAGAGGTAATGGGGGTGGTGGCCAACTGTGCGGGCTCTTATGGATTTTCTTCTGATTTGGGGAGTGAATGGAAGGCTGAGATCAGAGAGGGACAGGGCTTTCCGTTCAGTCCTCAAACTCCCTACCAGCCACAGGCTCTAACTACCAGATGCTCAGCAGAGCCCATACCCAGTAGGGGCTCAATAAAGGCTCATTTAGTCCAAAGAAACTCTGGCAGTGACCTGCTCTGCAGCGCCATACCCTACCCCCACTCCCACCAGGATCATTTAGGAAGCACCTTCTGCGTACCCCAAACTATATCCAGGAAGCCCTCTAGGGTGACTCTGCCAGAGTCCACTTGGCTGCCTCATGGGTCCACCAGTCTGGCCAGCCCTGGCTTCCCTAGCCCTGCAGCCATGCCCAGATGCCATGGGCCAGGGCAGGGTCTGGGGTGGCACCCACCTTCCCGGGCCCGGCGGTCCTGCAGCAGCTTGCCGGCAGAGGCGGTCTTGTAGAGGAAGCCACTGTGGCTCACGGTCGGCAGGATAACTGAGTAGTGCTTTTCCAGGGGCTTCATCGAGTCCAGCCGAGGCACCTCTTTGGAGGTGGGGAAAGGATGGCAGGTCATGCTGGCCACCCAAGAGGGTGTCCCCACCTAACTCCCACCTGGCCTGGGCATCCAGGCTCACTTTCGAATCGTCAGCCCCAGCTCCCTAACTGGCAGCCTCAAGCTCCCCCTCCTATCTGCAGGGTCTTGCCAAGGCTGTTTCTCCACCTCTCCGCACTTGTGGAAATTCACTCCATTCCCAAGGCCCAGTTCCAGCACTGCCCCTTCCAGGAAGCTTCCCTGACTCCTGGCCCACCCCACTCTCCAGGTTGTAAGCACAGGCCAGGCACACTGGCATCAGGGGGGCATTGGGCAAACTCAATAATAATCCCTGGAAAGAGGATTTTCCCAGATGGCAGGAAGCTCAAGGTGGCAGCCTGACTACAGCTTTGCTCCCCATGGTCAGCAATGGCGGGGGGGAGGGGCGGTTCTGCCCCCAAGCCCAAGCCAGTTGGGTGGTCTCCTGTGTCTCCCTGGACACCTGGGCTCTCTCCAGCCCAGTGTGCCCCGCCCACCCATGGCCCTGAGCCCAGAGCCCCAGCCTTGAGCTCCACCCTCAGTCCTAGGATGTGGCCCCAGAGGCGAGGCCTGGGCCACGAGCTGCACTGCTCAGCGCACTGACCCCTCCTCATCCACCCCAAGGGGGAGCCAATGGTACCCAAACCAGGTTCAGGACTGAGCTCCACCCAAGCAGGGCAGTAGACAGGGCTGCCATGGTGGGTGACCCACACATGGAGAAATGTAACACAGCATCCCTCACGCAGCAACACAAACACACTCTGCACACACATTCACTCCAAAGCTCTCAACATCCCCACAAACACAGACCCAGGGGTTCAGAGGTGCACAAACACCAGCACAGCTGCCAGCCATCCTGAGGGACCCACACTGCGAGTCAGGGAAGTCATCAACAGAGTCACAGAGACAGAGACACAGAGGAACATGCATACGCAGCACAAATACACACTGACGTGCAAACCCAAGCACACCCCAGCTCACACACAATTTACCAAGGGCCCTTGAGGAGCTGCGATCATGGCCTGAGAGCAGCACGTAAATCAAACCCCACTGGGCACTGCACAGCCTGGTGGACCCCTACCCCACGCTCACCTGTGGTCCGATTGTTCCGAAGGAATTCCATCTGCAGTGTCTGCCCCGCCTGCTCTGCAAGAGCCAGGGGCGTGGGGGCCTCGGGGTCCCCCGAGAAGCAGCTGATCCCGGCCCCACAGCCCAGGAGCGCCTGAGTCTCAGCCAGGTCTGTGGTGGTGACTGCAGCACACAGGGCCTAGGAAGAGGCAAGGGAGGGTCAGCCCAAGCAGGAGTGGGGGACCCACAGGGAAAAAGGGTATGGGGGAGGAGAGGAAAGAAGAGGAAGGAGTCACCCAGGCCTGGAGCGGTCCATCCTCAGACTGAAAGAGAGAACAGGAAGGAAGGAAGGAAGGAGAGGGAAGAGAGACGCCAAGGGGAGGAGGGGCGAGCAGGGGCTGCCTAGCGGAGGACAGGGGATCCCAGCTGCCCGGGGCCTCACCCCTGCTGGCGGCCTGGACACAGCTGCCCAGTCAGCCACAGAGCCTCCAGAGGATCTCAAGCTCCTTCTGCCTTGTGGAAGAGCGGTGGGGGGGGGGGGTGCTTTGTAGCTAATTCCTCCCACATTTGAATTCCTCACTGCCTGCCCAGCACTCCCAACCAATGGGAGTTGCCGCCCTCCTGGCTTGCAGGCTAGACTGGGTTGGGCTGGGAGCAGGACGCCTGGGTCCCTGGGAGGTGGAGGCCTGACTCCCAGCGGGCTTCTAGCTGGACTGAGTCTGCCTGGGAGGGGCAGTTTGGGGGAGGGGCTGAAGGCCAACCAGAGGTCACAAATGGCATACCCCTGCCTCAGAGCTGGCCACCTCCCGCTCAGGCGGAGCCAGATCAGGGCCTGAGACTTGGCTCCCACCCTGTCAGGGCCTGGGGCCCATACGGGGCCTCATCTTGAATTGGGTGTGGATGGGGGTGGGTTGGAGCAGCCCAGCTGTTTTTCATGAGCCTGACAGGAAATAGCATCCCCATCAAGTTCACTCCTTTTGGCAGGATTCAGAAGCAACAGGACGGGGTGCAGGAGACTGAGGAATCGGGAGAGAGACAGACAGATGCTGGGGACGTGGCCTTGGCCCAAGGGTCAGGCCTGGCTCCTCCCTGCACGGCCAGAACTTTTCATATGGCTTAGGCAGGGCCCTTCTGCCCTCCAAACATCAGTTTCCCCATACGCCAAGGCATCTCCCTGAGCTGGTAGATGAGATGGGTTAAGACAGTGTAAGGAACAGGGCAGCAGAAAGACAAGGGTGGTCCCAAGGGGCCCCAGAGCTGCAGTATCCTGACCTTGTCCAGCTCCTCCTGGTTGCCAAAGAGTGGGTGGTAGCGGCGGTACTTGCCCTCACGGTACTTGGCCTCCAGGTGGCACCGCCGGGTGCTGGGGCTGCTGCTGGGCTGCAGGGCCTCACTGGGGGGCACGTTGGCTGCCCAGAAGCGGTTCCCAGCGCCATTCCCCAGCTGTAAGAAGAGCTGCAGGGGTTTGTAGGAGGTCAGATGGGCCAGCTGACAGCCAGGGGCCGTGCCGGGCAGAAACTTGATTTCTGAGGTTGTTAGGTAAGGGGCTGGGAGAGCCAGGCCATCTGCCCACTTTCCCAATGGGGAAGGTGAGGACAGCCTGGCCTGCTGGCGGCTGGGGATGCTCCTGCCACCAGAGCTGGGCTCTGAGTCTAGGTCTCAGGCTCAGTGACAGGACAGGGGGTCAGCAGCCTGACAGGTGGACGCCTCAGGCCCTGCGCCTGGTCCCAGGGGCCTTGCTGCTGCCCCACCCAGTTCCACATCTAGAGCTCTGCATTCCTGAGACTATGATAGCCGGGGGTGGGTGCCTAACCTGTCAGCCAATGGGGTAGGCAGGGATTTTGGAAACCTCTCCTGTCCCTGACATTCCTCTCTAGGCAAGAGGGATAGGGGTGGATTCTGGGTGAGTGCAGGGATCCAGCATTCGGGAATCAGTTCCTTCCTTCATCCGGCTCCTCCTTCCACAGCCATTTCCTAGGCCCCCCCACCTTGCCTCTTTGTCAGGTCCTGTATGGGGTGCTGGGGTCACAGCATAGAACAAAGCATAACAATGCCTGCCACTACAGATTCACTCTGTGTCTTCCAGCAAGTTATTTTCTCTCCCCAGGCTTCAAGGCTTAAACTGGTTATTCTAATCCTAACTCCTGGCTTGTTCTGAAAGTCAGTTAATTAACATATGCAAAGTCCTTAGCACTTATGTGCCAAACACACTGTGGGGAGGTGAGAAAGGGATGTGACACTCCAAGTGCTCTGGAGTCTGCAGCCTGGGCCTAGCCTCCCATTGCAGGTTCTCCCCTGTATCTACCACATATGGGTACCTGGGAGTTTCCAGTACAGAGGCATAAATGTACATGTGTGTGCACACGCAGCATACATACATATACCCACTGGTGCACGTGAGTTCAGATGAAATGAAGGCTGAGGGCCTCTGAGAGGGTATGCAAGGTAGGGGAGAAGGCCCTGGGTCAGCCAGAAGTGAGATGGAAAAAGGCAGGGGTGGTGGTCAATGTGCATTTACAGGGTAATCTCAGACAGATTACAGCCCTGCCCAGGACCTCAGTTTACACATCTATTCAATGGATGAAAGTGAAATAAGAATAGGAGTTAGCAAATTCTTTCTCTAAAGGGCCAAACAGTAAATATTTTAGGTTTTACAGAACACATACAGTCTCTGCTGCATTTTCTTCCTTTTTTTTTTTTTTAATATAACGCTTTAAAACTATAAAAACATTCTTAGCTCACTGGCCAGTTTGCTGACTTTGCCAAAAATTGCTTTTCCGAAATTCCCACCCACTAGATTATCATTAAGGATCTCTTCTAGCTCCAAGGTGCTGTGGCCACTGAGATAGGGAGGGGGCTGGGAGACCCAGACAGCTGTTGAATGGGGCAGAGTCCAAGTATCAGTGGCAAGCAGGGGCATCCCCACCTCGATAAGTGTTTCTGTCCACACCTTCCTGTCCATCTTCAGGCTCCGCACCTTGGAGACGCCAGCGCCCAGGCCACGGTGCTCCCCTGTAGACACAGGGCCAGACCCAGAATCACCTGTGCCCTCCCCTTCACGGAATCACTTACCCACCCCCAGTGTCCACTGGGACAGGCAGGGATGACAGGCCACAGGCAGGCGCCAGGGGGTAGGCCTGCTGGCAGCTCTGGAATCCAGCCATGCTCTCTTGCTCCCCACAGGGCAGGACTGAGCCCTGTAATCCTCGCCTGGGCTCTTGTACCAGCCCCCTGCAACTGGCTCCCTGGAACCATGCTTGGCCTCTTGCAGGCCACTCTTAACACAGCCCTGCCAGAGGTGATCTCTTTAAAATGCAAATCCCTGACTTCTAATCCCTGCTTTCACCCTCCAGTAGCTCCCAGAATTAGATCACAACTCCTTTCCTGCTTCCCCTCCATCATCTTTCTACCCAGACTGTCATCGCCCATGTCCTCATGGCCACTCCTTCTTGCCATTCAGATCTCAGCGGGCATGTCACCTCCTCACAGAGGGCCTCCCCAGCACACTTCCCAAGACTTGCTCCTCCACCTGGATCCCCACCTCCAGCAGCCCACAGCCACCGCCTGAGCTATGTCAGCTCCCAGGAGGACAGAATCCCCAGCATCTGGCACACAGTGGCCAGACTGAGTGGCCTTGATTGAGCAGATGAATGAACCCTGGGCTCGACCATCTTGCATTTCATCTTCCTCATCCAGTCATTGAGAGTTTTCCACCATAGATCCTCAATAGCCCTCAAATGCTCACAGCTTCCCCAGGCCAGGCTTCCTCCTCCTCCCTCTCCTGGATCCTATGGCAGTCTCCTCACTGGTCTCTAGACTTGCCCCTCTAACTCAGTTTCCACCCACCAACCAGAGTCTGACCCACAAATCTGACCACGTCCCTGCCTCCCGTTGCCCTCCAGACAAAACACCAGCTCCTCCCTCTGCATGCAAAGCCCTGCCGGGCTCCTGCCAATTCCTCTTGCCCGGCCTCCCCTATTCTTCTGTAATGAGAGGAACACCGGACCCCAACAAGCCTGGGCTCAAATCTGGGCTCACTTACTTGCCAGGTGACCCTGAATAAGCCACTTCCTCTCCCTGTGCCTCCGAGTCCCCACCTGTGATGGGAGAAGTTGAACCCCCGCCTGGCAATGTAAGGACTCAAGGCTAATTACAGGGGAAAGGCCTGGTGTGCAGGAGAAGCCTCATCAATAGCAGCTCTCTGACTGCTGTCTCCACTCCAGGCCCTCCTCCAGATAGGACACCTGGCATCCCAAATGGCCAACCCCGCCACACCTCTGCCTGGTGCCCCAACCCCAGCACACACACCTGCACAGCGCTTGCAGATGACGACACAGAGGTTGATGGAGGCCCAGTCAGGCTGGGGAGCCCCGCAGTCAGCACAGAACCTGTTGGGGGCTGCAGCCCAGACGCGCTCGGCCACCTCTGAGGTAGACAGGGCCTCGGCGACAGCTCCCTGCATGGCCTCCAGCCACTGCTCCTTCTCTAGCTCTGAGTCAGCAGAGAAGCTGGGGACACAGGGGTGGGGAGGTTGGTGGGGATAGACTCAGAGGGATTTGGGAGCAGCACGAAGAGGCACAGAATGAAGTGGGGGACAAGGTGTTGGGAGCGCTTAGGCAAAAGAGTGAGGCATCCCATTCTGGTAGGGAAAGTAGGTGTGGACAAAGGCAAGGACACCAGGAACCCAACAGCGTATGGGGGCAGGGAAGCCCAGTGGGGGGCTCTGCCCAGCCTGCGGAATGAAGGCTGCTGGGAAGAAAATGATGCCTGAGCTAAGGTTTGACAGATCAGAAGGGCTGAGCCGGGTGAAGAGGTGAAAGGGCAGTCTAGACAGAGGGAACACCATGTGCAAAGGGGCAGGATGGCACAGGGGGCATTCCAGGAGACAGGAGGGCAGACTGGCAGAGAAGAGGCTGGAAGACGGACAGGACAGGCCTGCATCAGGCAGAGGAAGTCAAAGTGCACCCTGAGGACGATGGAGAATCCACAGAGGGTGTAAGTGGAAAGGAGGGGAAGGTACAGAGATGTCTTTAAAAGACTCCTCCACCATCCCCATCCTCATTCCTATCCCAGCCCCAACTGTGACATGCTCCATGGCCTCACCCCACAAAGCACTCCATTGGCCCAGCATACCCAGACACCTGTGGCTGCCATAGCATGCCCTGCTCTTCAGGGTGGGAGACCCTGGTTGAACAATAAATGATGACTGTCCCTGAAAAAATTTAGTTTTAAAAAGACCCTTCTGGCTCTATCCCTGCCACCACCGAGTCACACATGTGACCATGAGTCTACTCCACCCATAACCCATTGCCACAACCAAGGAAGGCATCGCTGCTGGAGGTGTGATGGCCGTTAATGCCATCTTATGGAGGTCCTGGAGACCTCCTCCTCCACAACCTAGCACGTGCAATTTGCAAAGCTGCCAAAGGTGGAGCCAAGATGCCAAGCTCACCTTCCTGTGCTTGCGCCCAAATGCAATGAGTCACGCATGCGAGCTGGAGGAGGCCCTTTGTGTAGAACACCAAGTCTACCTCTTTAGGGTTGATGACAACAAGAAACCCGGGAATGGGCAGGCCTCTCAGACTGACAATCAGAGAACGCCCGTCAGGTGGGGCTGTAGCTGTGTGGTAGTTAAGGTCTATGGCAAAGAATCTCAGGCCAAGGATGTCATCAAAGAGAACTTCAAATGCAAGAAATGAGCAAATAAAAACTTATCTCTCAAAAATAAGGCCCCCCCAGCAGTCAAAGCAGTTGGAGTAAAGAGGCTGACAGGCACGGGTGGCCTAAGAGTGAGGAGGCAGGTGCTGGGGCCAAGGGTCCACCAGGCCCGGGCCAGAAGGGTGACAGCAGAGGGATGGGACCAGATGGGATAAAAAGGAAAGGCACGGGCCAGGTGCAGTGGCTCACCCCTGTAATCCCAGCGCTTTGGGAGCCCGAGGTGGGTGGATCACCTGAGGTCAGGAGTTCCAGACCAGCTTGACCAACATGGCAAAACCCGATCTCTACTAAAAATACAAAAATTAGCGTGGTGATGTGCACCTTTAATCGCGGCTACTTGGGGAGGCCGAAGCAGGAGAATCACTTGAACCTGGAGGCAGAGGTGGCAGTGAACCGAGATTGTGCCACTGCACTCCAGCCTGGGAAACAGAGCAAAACTCTGTCTCAAAAAGAAAAAAAAAGGAAAAGCATGAGTCCTTCCCTCTTGGTTGGAGAGACAGGCCCCTGGGAAGAACAGGGAGCTGAAAGCGGGAGGTGACTACAGCCGTCAGACATGCAGGACAGAGCTCAGCAGAAAGATCCCGCTGGAGATAGACACCTGGGCTAAGAGCAGAGAAGTGGGAGGGTTGGGGGTGATGCTAGTGTTTATTGACCAGTTACTACCAGTATTACAAACACTTCCCCAGGAAACTGAGGCACACAGAGGCCAAGTGATTTCCCAGGTCACACAGCTAGTCAGTGATGGGCCCAGGATTCAAACCCGGGCATAGTTCAGTACATCAGAGGTAGTGGCTGAAGGCCTGGGAGTGGGCAAGGCTGCCCAGGGAGAGGGCAGAGGACAGAGAAAGACACCAAGGGACAGCTAAGGTTAGAGGAAACCAAGACAGCAGAGCCTTGGTGGCCCAGAGACAATGCCTGAGGAGCAGCCTCATGAGAGACAAGAGCACTCTCCAGGGGTGGTGCAGGCGTAGGGGCAGTGGGTGCAGGAGGCCAGCATGGGCAACCCCTGAGCAGCATGGCGGGCAGGGGAGGACAGCAGTGGCCAAGCGGCACAGGGGAGAGTGAGACCTCTTAGGAGGAAGGGAGATCAGAGTGAGTTAGCAAGTGACGGGAGAGGGGCTCCACAGGTGGGGCAGGGCGGAGCAGGTGAGGGAACCAATCCCACAGGAAGGGGCAGCCTCCCACGTTGAGCAAAAGGAAAACATTAGGAAGGAGTGAGGATGCCGGTGAGCCAAGAGGATGGAGGGTCACCTGAAGATGCGGTAGGGCGTAGTGAGGTCGAAGCTGCGCCGGTCCACTTCCTTCACGTTGCCCACGCTCATGTCGATGAAGGTGATGCCAATGCCCAGGTGGTACTCCTGGAGGGCGGGTGGGACGGGATGAGGGCAAGGCTTTAGGGGCAGGGCATGAGGCTTGGGACGGGGAGAGGAAGGGAAGGTAGTGCAACTCAGGGACTGGGGGGGTGCCCAGGAGGGAGACAGCGGGGGACACGGGAAGCTGGGCGGGGCAAGGGGCTGCAGGTTCAGGGCCCACACAGCAATGAGCAGAGGTGCGGGGGCGCAGGGGCCAGGGCAGGGACTGGAGGGTGATGCTCAAGGCTTGGGGGAAGTGGTCAGAACTGGGGAAAGCGAGGACACATCCAGGCAAAGGGCTGGGCTCAGTGCAGGAAAAGAGGGAACAGAAAAGGCAGAGCTAAGGTCCTAGGTGAGCCTGGGGCAGGGTAGGCGGGCATGGGCAGGGGAGAGGTTCTGTGACCCCTTAGCACCTCTAGATTCTTGTAGAGCTGCACTTTGTCCCCGACCACGGCCACATACAGCTTATTCTTGAAGCCACGAAGCTCCAGGCTGCCAGCGCGGTCAGGTTGCTCTGAGCCTGGAACTCCCAGCAGATAAGCGCTAGAGAGCCGGGCCCGGGCACGCTGCTCAGCCATGGCCTGCTGCAGGGCCTGCATCCACTCCTTCCGCTCCACTACAGGAGAAGGGTGGAGGAGTAAGCCCAAGGTCGGCCTGGCAGGGAGCCCCTCAGGGGTCTCCTGGCCCTAGGCTCCTCAGGCAACATCTCCTCTAGAAAGCCCACCCAGATTGCCCCCCTATCATTTTGCTCGACTTCTCTGACTTGAACGAGCTCAGGCTCAATCCCAGCTTTGCCACTGATGCTGGGTAAGTGACCTCACCCCTCCAAGCCTGCTCCCGCTGATTGTGTGGTTCTGAAGAGTCAGTGACCATGCCAAGCACAGAGCTGGTCACAGAGGGTGCCCCCTTCCTCCACCCACCTCACAAAGGGACCACGCCTCCCTGGATGTGATGTGAGAGGACAGATGCGCCATGCTTCTCTTCCCCCTCCTCTGCCCAAACTTCCAGTCTTCTCTACCCACTTACACACACACACACACACACACAAAAACACAAAAAAAAAACACTCCACACTCCCCACCATCACTCTCTGCCCGGAAGGCAAAGGTCCGGTTGTTTGTAATCACTTCAAACTTCTGGTCCCCGATGGCAGCCACGCGGGAGATGCAGGCCACAGAGATAAAGCGCTTAGAGTAAGCGTCCTGGGGGAGAGACAGGAGCTGTATTATGGGACCCAGCACCTCACTGACTCCCCCAGCCTCAGCCGAAATGAAGGCTGCAGCCCTGTCTCCTGCAGCTGGTCAGAGACAAGACCCTGTGCTGACCCTGACTGCAGCAGAGGGCCAGGAGGACATGGGTTAAGGGGTCAGACTTAGAGCTCTGGCGAGGACTCCTCTGGGGAGGGACGCCACCTCGTTCCAGTGTTGGGGCCAGCCTAGGCTACAGCAGGGTCGCGTCAGGACTGAGGCAGGCCTCACCTTGTTACTGTCAAAGTATCGCAGGTGATCAGCATCCAGTCTCACCCATCGTTTCTGATAAATGTAAGATCTGGAGAGGGAGAGGGACAACAGGCAAATGACTGGGGGTGGGAGGACACGTTCCAGGACTACTCCAGCCCTCAGAAGCCACACTCAGAGTGAGGATCAGCCAGGTTCTAGGGAGGAAGGATCCCAAATGGCCATTGGCAAGAAGATGGATTTTACAGCAAAAGTGACTGAAGTCAGACTCAAAGTAGCACATCTCTTTTATTTTATTTTATTTTATTTTATTTTATTTATTTATTTTGAGACAGGGTCTCACTCTGCCACACAGGCTGGAAGGCAGAAGTACAGGCCTAGCTCACTACAGCCTCAGATGCCTGGGCTCAAGTGCTTCTCCCACCTCAGTCTCCCAGGTAGCTAGAACTACAGGCATGAGCCACCGCACCTGGCTAATTTTAAAATGTATTTGTAAAGACAAGGTCTCGCTATGTTGCCCAGAGTGGTCTCAAACTCCTGGCCTCAAGCAAACCTCCCACCTCAGCATCTCAAGTGCTGAGATTACAGGTGTGAGCCACCATGCCCAGCGATCTCCCAATTTTCAGGGCAATAAAATGGGTCTGGAGGGCATCATCGGTGGTCGCAGTCTGCCTGGAGGGAGACCTGTGCAAATCATCTCAGGCCCTTCTGGCTTTCAGATCTGTGATACCAGCGTCCTGGGGTCCTGGACACTGCCCCCCGCTCCCCCATGCAGAGCACGGCAGGACCCAAGAGGCCTCACTCACCCCTGCGGTGGGTTCTTGTCCAGCCAGCCAGCCTTGATGACTGGTGTGACGGGGGTGGAGCCCCCAGGCGGCCCGTCCATGGGGTGTGGCGCAGCAATTGTGCTGGGCAAGGACAAGCTCAGGCTGCTGGTGTGCCATCCGCCACTAGCGAGAGATGAGGGGATGGGGGGCTGGGCTGAGGAGGCGAAGAGGGGGCGGGCTGGGGTTGGGCTGAGCAGTAGGAAGGAGGGTGGCTGGACACTCACTTGGGGACGCCCTCATAGGCGTGGTCATCCTCATCCTCATCCTCTTGGTCATCCCCAGACAGTTCCTCTCCCTCGCTCAGCAGACTGGCCACACGCACGGCCCGTGGGACTCGGCTCAGTGGGGGCTCCTCCTGCCCCCGAGACCCACTCAGCGTCATCCTTTCCTTCAAACCACAGATCACACCCACCCGGGGCTGCCACCCCCCCTCTGTCCACACAGCCCCGACCCGCACAGCCCAGCACTTTTAGTTCTGTTTCCTCACACTCCCCTCCCCCTGCCAGCAGAGACCACACAGGGACCCAGATCACAGGGACAGGAGAGCCAGTGGCAGACACCGACCTAGGACACAGACAAAAACAGAAAGATAAAGGGACAGAGAAAAGGACTGCAGGCTAGGGAGGCAAGACAGACAGACACGGGAACGCAAGAAGTGAAAGACAGACAGACACTCTGGGATAAGACACGAGCTCCTAACACAGAGGGTGGGGGGAGGCCACATGCCCACACACATGCAGCCAGGGCCTGGGCCCCGACCCCTGGCCCAAGGCACTATGGCTACACGTGACTCCTGACCCCTGTATGGCAAGTGAGGTGGGGAAAGGGGAAGCCTCCCAAGAAATGGCTGCCCACTCTCTATAAGTGGTCCCCAGGATCTGACAGGCAGCTGGGTACCCCCCCAACACACTGACAGGCAGACAGTCCCATGCCTGGCCCTACCTTCTTGGTCATCACTCTGGCTGGGGCCCCTGGCCCCTCCTCTGGGACCTCATCGTAGTCAGAGTCATCTGGTGAGAGAGGGGTTGGGGGGACTCAGGGCAAGGGGCCTGGCCTCCTCTCCTGGGGCACCACACTGGGCTTCACAAAGCCTCCCCCATGCCAAGACCCCCACCCCCACTTCTCCCTGGCTTTCAAAAAAAGGCACAGGGGATAGGAAGTGTGATTTATACCCTCAGGCCTCAGGACAGCACTAAAGGGTGGCAGAGGAGAGGCTGGGACACCACAGGGAGGTCTGAGCCAGTGGTGAGCCTGGGGATCGGGGTAAGGACTGTCAAAGGCAACATGAATCAAGAAATGTCGCCAACCCCAGGAAAAGCAAACCACCCAACACCATGGAAAATCAGACCATGGGTAACCGGCAAAGCTGGCCATGGCCCCACACTTAACAGTCAGGAGGCCAGACAGGTGGGCACTGTCTCCATTGTGAGGATGAAGAGAATAGCGCTCAGGGAGGCTGTGACCTGCCCAGGGCCACAGAATGGGCTGGTGGCAGGGTTGCACAGAAAGGAGTGTGATCCTTGCATACCCTCCAGAGGCCTGATCCCAGGGATCCCAGGCCATCCACCCAGAGCCACATCCCCTGCTGCAGCACTCACCGAACTCCGGGAACAGGCGTACTGGCTTTGGAGGTATCTCAGGGGGGCAGGGAGGTGGAGAGGGGGGCTGGGGAGGCCCCTGAGGGAGGGCGGACTGGGGATCCTCAGGCTCTGGCTGGGGAAGGGATGACAATGGCAGCAGTGACTCCTCCTCCTTGGTGGGCAGGCTGGGAACAGAACAAAAGTTGGGCATCACTAAGCAACAGAGCCAAGACTGAAACATACTGAGCCCCCAGCTCACCCGAACTGCAGCAAAACTCAGGCACTACACAAACTCATGCAGACACGAGCCCTCCTGCACACAGCCCTCCTCAACTCATCTCCCAGAAGATGAGTTCCTGGTTCCCCGAAGCCTAAAGGAAGCAGGCACCCTCTTTGACCTGAATGAGATGGTCACCTATCCCCAATGCTCTAGCTTTTAGTCACATGTATCCACTGGGTCTCCACATTGAAGGAGGGATAAAGATCAGAATGGGGAGTCAGGGAAGGCTTCGTGGAGAAGGTGATGCTTGACCTGAGCTTTTAAGGATAAGAAGGCATTGACAGCAAAGAGAAGGAACAGGATTGAAATGAGCTGCAAAGCCCAAGGCACAGACTAGAGCCTCAGAAACCAATTCCTAAGGCCTTGAATTGTGGGTCTCTTGTCTCGAGATCACCTTGCTCTTGCCCAGATTTGGATATTCACTACCTCCTGGTGCCCTCAGACTCCTGAAACTCACCTGATCCCACCAGACCCATCTCCCACAACACCAGCACCTCACCTCTGCTACCACTCCCCAAGGAACCCTCCCCTGATTCTCCAAGGCCAGGTTCAGGGCCTCCTGGGCTCTCACAGCCACACAGTGTTCCCATCTGTCTCAGTACAGATCACATTGCTCCTGGCAGGCTGTCTTCTGAAGGGCTTTGGCATCAAGGACATGAATTTGAATCCGGCCTTAGTTTCTAAGTTCTTGTGTGTCCTGGGCTGAGCACCTAGCCCCTCTGAGCCTCAGTTTCCTCTTCTGTAAAACGGGGGCTATATCACTGACCTGGCAGGGTGCTAGAAGGATTAACCAAGACAGGATGTGTCATGTGCCAGCACACAGGATGTGCAGGGACCATAGGCTGAAACAAGGTGCCTGAGCCCTGGAGGCCTGGCCCCACCAGCTGTCTCTGCCACTGTCCTGCAGGGGCCAAGGAGGAGAATCAGGGTGGACGGGCAACTTCCCCCTGGGTTATTTTTGGCCTTGTCTGTTGCCCCAGTGTTCCTGGCAATGGCTGACGGTGTGGGGCCACCATGAAAGCAAGGAGGGGCTGGGAGGAAGTGACAGGGTCTGCCTGGGGTGTGGTCATGATGCCAGGCCTTTCCTCCTGCTGTTGCCTCCACCAATAACACCCTTCTCCCTGTTCTCTGCCTGGGAACATCCATTCATTTTTTAACTTTTTTTTTTTAAGAGACTGGGTCTTACTCTGTGGCAGACTGGAGTGCAATGGCACAATCACAGCTCACTGCAGCCTCAAACTCCCGAACTCAAGTGATCCTCTGACTTCAGCCTCCCAAGTAGGTGGGTCTCAAGGTGTGCGCTACCATGCCTGGCTAATTTTTAAATTTTTTGTAGAGACTGGGTCTTGTTATGTTGCCCAGGCTGGTTTTGAACTCCTGGCATCAAGCAATCCTCCCACCTCAGCTTCCCAAAGCAATCCTTTAACTCTAAAACCACATTTCCCTTCTCTGAAAGTCTTCCTTGACCCTCCTTTATGCTGCTGTCCATTAAGACCTTCATACAATGGCTGGGTGCAGTGGCTCATGCCTGTAATCCCAGCACTTTGGGAGGCCGAGGTGGGTGGATCACGAGGTCAGGAGATCAAGACCATCCTGGCTAACATGGTGAAACCCTGTCTCTACTGAAAATACAAAAAATTAGCCGGACACAGTGACAGGCGCCTGTAGTCCCAGCTACTCAGGAGGTTGAGGCAGGAGAATGGCGTGAAACCGGGAGATGGAGCTTGCAGTGAGCCGAGATGGCGCCACTGCACTCCAGCCTGGGGGACAGAGTGAGATTCTGTCTCAAAAAAAAAAAAAAAAAGACCTTCATACAAATTATTCTAAATGACATTTTTCAAAGTATCTCCCTTGTGCCAAGATATGAACCCTGACTCCAAAGTTTATGAGCTTCTTAGGACACTTGGCTGCTTCCACATCACCTTCTACTAAACTTGTCTCTTCTCCAGGTATAGATAAAAGTTAATCAATCCCTTTCCTCTGTGTGAAGAGCTGGCCTTTGACTAGGTTTCTAGCTCTGTTCCCCTAGAAACCTGCAAACAGTGGCGTGTCAGCCATGTTACCAGGCAACCACTGCCTTTGGCAGCACGGCCTGCACAGGAACAGTGTCCGGATGGAGAGAAACTATAAGCAGATTCTGTACTTGGTAGAGAAACCGGAGCTTTGCTTCGCTCAGTGTGGTGACTTGCAAACTGGGCACATCCCACATAGGGAGTTGAAGCCACACCTGTGTGGATGTTAGAAGACTACCGGCCCCTTAGGCAAGAGCTTTCAAAGCCAGGCTGGCTCCCTGTGAGTCACTATCCGCTGTGAGACCCAGTCCTTCACTCCTGAGCTGTCACTTGGAGGGTCACAGAGAATGGCTCCTGGACAGCTGCGTGGGCTATGGCTCGGATTGCTTCAAAGACCCCATGGCAGACGAAGGCCTGCCTCTGTCCTGGCAGCAAGCTGCTCCCCATCCAACGGGCCTCTCTGGGAATCTGGGGCCAAGGGGTGGGCCTGCGGGAGTCTTGAGTCGGAATATACTCTCACAGCTGGACCTATGAAGATCCCCTGGTGGACACTGCACCAGGCTGTCTCTCCTACATGACCTGAGTCCCTTTGGGGCACGGGCAGCATCTGACTTGGTACCCCCGCCCAGTCAGTAGCAAGAGCATGCGGGCAAGGTGGGTGGACAGGTGAGCAGGTAGATGGCAGGTGGAAGGGAAGGCAACGGAAGGGGTGAACGATGACCAAGTGACTGAGGGGAGTGCCTGAAGGCCCAAGAGCATGACCTGGGGTGCTGGCCCCAGCTGGTCACCTGCGATTCCCTTAGAGACTTTTTTTTTTTTTTTGAGACGGAGTCTCGCTCTGTTGCCCACACTGGAGTGCAGTGGCCGGATCTCAGCTCACTGCAAGCTCCACCTCCTGGGTTTACACCATTCTCCTGCCTCAGCCTGGGACTACAGGCGCCTGCCACCTCGCCCGGCTAGTTTTTTGTATTCTTTTTTTTAGTAGAGACGGGGTTTCACCATGTTAGCCAGGATGGTCTCGATCTCCTGACCTCGTGATCCGCCCGTCTCGGCCTCCCAAAGTGCTGGGATTACAGGCTTGAGCCACCGCGCCTGGCCTCCCTTAGAGACTTCTTGACGGGCAGATCAAACCATCACTGCTACCTCCCAGAGCCCAAGAGGAAGGGGCCTTGGAAACCCAGCCTGGGATCAGCAGAGAGCAGAATTCCAAGCTGTCAGGCCAGGGCCAGTCAGACCTCAGTCCAAGGAGATGGGGATGGGTGTCATCCCTCCAATGCCAAGCAGGATTGAGGGAGCCTGGCTCCCAAAGCTCCCCCAGGTCTGAGGGCCAGAGCTGAGGGGAAGGTGGTAGCCATAAATAAAAACTGCCCACCTGCTTGTCCTCATCCCTGGGGTCCGGCAGCATCAGCCCCCTTCCTCTGGCACCACAGTGCATCTCCCATCACTGTCCTGATCAGCTGCGAGGGGTCTACCCATCTCGGGCAGCAGGCGGGTTCCCTGAAGCAAGCTCCACACCCTCCTTCCTCATTGGGGTATCTCCAGCATGCAGCAGGGACTTACAAACACCTGGATTCATTAACTGTGTGTATGTGTGTCTACGTGTGTATGTTCTCAGTCATTTTCTCAGCACTTGACATGGATTCTTCATTCATCTACTCACAGCGCTCTGTCAGGTAAGGCTCGTCATGATTCCACTTTACAGAGGAGGAAACCAAGGCACAGGGATGCTAGGTTATTTGTTCTTGATGCCACAGCTGGGATTTGAACCCTGGCAGCCCAGAACCAGAGCTGAGCAAACGAGGCCATGCCAGGGTCCCAGGGCTCCTCTGAGGCCAGCCTCCTCCCATGGGCAGCCAGGTCTCAGGACCCATCTGAGAGGGAACACATCACTGCCCTGCCACGGCAAGAAGGCAGAGGGAAACCGATGCACAGGGCTCCTCTCCCAGCGGAGCTTCCACAGGGAAGGGACCGTGTCTGATGAAGGTGGAACAAAGGGACCTCTCAGAAGCATCTGGGAAATTCTAGCCACCTTCTCCAGGAAGTCTCCTGGCTGCTCCCTGACTGCCTGCTTACCACAGGGTATCAGGGCACTGCTGAGTCAGGACGGAGCCCAGGAAAGGAGAAGTGCTTTCAGGAAGGCACAACATGTGGGAAAACCCCAGGGAAAAGGCAGTGACCCCCTACCGAGAACAGGGCCTAGAGAATGCCCCCACCATAGCCCAAGTCCCAGCCTCTTACTGCTTGCACCCCTAAGAGTAGGCCCCGTTCCAATCCCGAGGTCCAGCTGAGGCCTGGCTTGGATGTCACCCACTGACTTGTCACCCACTGGACCACGTCCTCAATGGCAACACCTCCAAGCCTTCACACAGTTTCATCCTCTTCTGCCCTCTCCCTCCCAAAGCCCACAGAAGCCCACCTCCACCTCAAAATGCAGCTCAGCCAGCCTCCTCCTCTAGGCAACCTCCAAGATTCTCCCACAGAGCTGCTCCCCACTCACCCTGCACTGCAGCTCCCTGCTCCTTCAGTCTTCTCTCCTCTACCCAAGGGGCATGTGAACCCACGTGCTTACCCACTATTCCCAAGAGACTAGGCACCCCAGGCAGCTAAGGGGCTGGTTCACCCTAGCCTGGGCCCTCAGCTTAAATCTATTTTATAGAATCAGAGACAATACACACAGCAGACCTCATGCCTGGGGGTTAGGGGACATGGGGGGTATGCAGAATGCAGAATGCAGAATGGGTAAGAGGAGGGTGCAGCTTGTGCAGAAGTCGAGAGGCAGACCATGGACCTCCCATCCTCATTGGGGTATCTCCAGCACTCAGCAGGGACTTACAAACACCTGGATTCATTAACTGTGTTTGTGCGTGTCTACGTGTGTGTGTTCCCACGCATT